TTGTTGTAACACAATGATGCACATCTGACTTATCATACCTACTGGTTTTGTTGTAACCCAATGATATACATCTGACATGTCTTACTTACAGAATGCCCTTCTGGTTTTGTTGTTACACAATGAGACACATCTGACTTATCATACCTCCTGGTTTTGTTGTAACACAATGAGACACATCTAACTTATCTTCCTTCCAGACTGCCCTACTGGTTTTGTTGTAACACAATGAGACATATCTGACTTATCTTACTTACAGACTTCCCAACTGGTTTTGTTGTAACCCAATGATATACATCTGACATATCTTTCTTACAGAATGCCACACTGGTTTTGTTGTAACACAATGATGCACATCTGACTTATCATACCTCCTGGTTTTGTTGTAACACAATTAGATACATCTGACTTATCTTACCTACAGACTGCCGTACTGGTTTTGTTGTAACACAATGATGCACATCTGACTTATCATACCTACTGGCTTTGTTGTAACACAATGAGACACATCTAACTTATCTTACTTACAGACTGCCCTACTGGTTTTGTTGTAACCCAATGATATACAACTGACATATCTTTCTTACAGAATGCCACACAGGTTTTGTTGTAACACAATGATGCACATCTGACTTATCATGCCTACTGGTTTTGTTGTAACACAATGATGCACATCTGACTTATCTTACCTACAGACGACATATCTGACTTATCTTACTTACTGACTTCCCAACTGGTTTCGTTGTAACCCAATGATATACATCTGACATATCTTTCTTTCAGAATGCCACACTGGTTTTGTTGTAACACAATGATGCACATCTGACTTATCATACCTCCTGGTTTTGTTGTAACACAATGAGACACATCTGACTTATCTTACTTACAGACTTCCCAACTGGTTTTGTTGTAACCCAATGATATGCATCTGACATATCTTACTTACAGACTGCCCTACTGGTTTTGTTACACAATTAGATACATCTGACCTATCTTACCTACAGACTGAACTACTGGTTTTGTTGTAACACAATGAGACACATCTAACTTATCTTACTTACAGACTGCCCTACTGGTTTTGTTACACAATTAGATACATCTGACCTATCTTACCTACAGACTGCCCTACTGGTTTTGTTTTAACACAATGATATACATCTGACTTATCATACCTCCTGGTTTTGTTGTAACACAATTAGACACATCTGACCTATCTTACCTACAGACTGCCCTACTGGTTTTGTTGTTACACAATGAGACACATCTAACTTATCTTACTTACAGACTGCCCAACTGGGTTTCTTGTAACACAATGATGCACATCTGACTTATCTTACTTACAGACTGCCCAACTGGTTTTGTTGAAACACAATTAGATAATCTAACCTATCTTACCTACAGACTGCCCTACTGGTTTTGTTGTTACACAATAAGACACATCTGACCTATCTTACTTACAGACTTCCCAACTGGTTTTGTTGTAACCCAATGATATACATCTGACGTGTCTTACTTACAGACTGCCCTACTGGTTTTGTTGTTACACAATAAGACACATCTGACCTATCTTACTTACAGACTTCCTAACTGGTTTTGTTGTAACCCAATGATATACATATGACATGTCTTACTTACAGAATGCCCTTCTGGTTTTGTTGTAACCCAATGATATACATCTGACTTATCATACCTCCTGGTTTTCTTGTAACACAATGAGACACATCTGACATATCTTACTTACAGACTGCCCTACTGGTTTTCTTGTAACACAATGATGCACATCTGACTTATCTTACTTACAGACTGCCCAACTGATTTTCTTGTAACACAATGATGCACATTTGACTTATCTTACTTACAGACTGCCCAACTGGTTTTGTTGTAACACAATGAGACACATCTAACTTATCTCACTTACAGACTGCCCTACTGGTTTAGTTGTTACACAATGAGACACAGCTGACCTATCTTACCTACAGACTGCCCTACTGGTTTTGTTGTTACACAATGAGACACATCTGACTTATCTTACCTACAGACTGCCCTACTGGTTTTGTTGTAACCCAATGATGCACATCTGACTTATCTTACCTACAGACTGCCCTAATGCTTTTGTTGTAACACAATGAGACACATCTGACCTATCTTACTTACAGACTTTCCATCTGGTTTTGTTGTTACCCAATGATATACATCTGACATGTCTTACTTACAGAATGCCCTACTGGTTTTGTTGTAACACAATTAGACACATCTGACTTATCATACCTCCTGGTTTTCTTGTAACACAATGAGACACATCTGACATATCTTACTTACAGACTGCCCAACTGGTTTTGTTGTAACCCAATGAGACACATCTGACATATCTTACCTACAGACTCCCCTACTGGTTTTCTTGTAACGCAATGATGCATATCTGACTTATCTTACTTACAGACTGCCCAACTTGTTTTGTTGTAACACAATGAGACACATCTGACCTATCTTACTTACAGACTTTCCATCTGGTTTTGTTGTTGCCCAATGATATACATCTGACATGTCTTACTTACAGAATGCCCTACTGGTTTTGTTGTAAAACAATGAGACACATCTGACTTATATTACTTACAGACTGCCCTACTGGTTTTGTTGTAACACAATGAGACACATCTGACTTATCTTACCTACAGACTGCCCTACTGGTTTTGTTGTAAAACAATGAGACACATCTGACTTATATTACTTACAGACTGCCCAACTGGTTTTCTTGTAACACAATTAGATACATCTGACCTATCTTACCTACAGACTACCCTACTGGTTTTGTTGTTACACAATGAGACACATCTTTGTTGTAACACAATGAGACACATCTGACTTATCTTACCTACAGACTGCCCTACTGGCTTTGTTGTAAAACAATGAGACACATCTGACTTATAATACTTACAGACTGCCCAACTGGTTTTCTTGTAACACAATTAGATACATCTGACCTATCTTACTTACAGACTGCCCAACTGGTTTTGTTGTAACACAATTAGATACATCTGACCTATCTTACCTACAGACTACCCTACTGGTTTTGTTGTTACACAATGAGACACATCTGACTTATCTTACTTACAGACTGCCCAACTGGTTTTCTTGTAACACAATTAGACACATCTGACCTATCTTACTCACAGACTGCCCAACTGGTTTTGTTGTAACACAATTAGATACATCTGACCTATCTTACCTACAGACTGAACTACTGGTTTTGTTGTAACACAATGAGACACATCTGACTTGTCTTACCTACAGACTGCCCTACTGGTTTTGTTGTAAAACAATGAGACACATCTGACTTATCTTACTTACAGACTGCCCTACTGGTTTTGTTGTAACACAATGAGACATATCTGACTTATCTTACTTACAGACTGCCCAACTGGTTTTCTTGTAACACAATTAGACACATCTGACCTATCTTACTTACAGACTGCCCTACTGGTTTTGTTGTAACACAATGAGACATATCTGACTTATCTTACTTACAGACTGCCCAACTGGTTTTGTTGTAACCCAATGATATACATCTGACTTATCATACCTCCTGGTTTTCTTGTAACACAATGAGACACATCTGACATATCTTACCTACAGACTCCCCTACTGGTTTTCTTGTAACGCAATGATGCACATCTGACTTATCTTACTTACAGACTGCCCAACTGGTTTTCTTGTAACACAATTAGATACATCTGACCTATCTTACCTACAGACTGCCATACTGGTTTTGTTGTTACACAATGAGACACATCTTTGTTGTAACACAATGAGACACATCTGACTTATCTTACCTACAGACTGCCCTACTGGTTTTGTTGTTACACAATGAGACATATCTGACTTATCTTACTTACATATTTCCCAACTGGTTTTGTTGTAACCCAATGACATACTTCTGACATGTCTTACTTACAGAATGCCCTACTGGTTTTGTTGTTACACAATGAGACACATCTGACTTATCTTACCTACAGACTGCCCTACTGGTTTTGTTGTAACACAATGAGACACATCTGACTTATCTTACTTACAGACTGCCCTACTGGTTTTGTTGTAACACAATGAGACACATCTGACTTATCTTACTTACAGACTGCCCTACTGGTTTTGTTGTAACACAATGAGACACATCTGACTTATCTTACTTACAGACTGCCCTACTGGTTTTGTTGTAACACAATGAGACACATCTGACTTATCTTACTTACAGACTGCCCTACTGGTTTTGTTGTAACACAATGAGACACATCTGACTTATCTTAATTACAGACTGCCCTACTGGTTTTGTTGTAACACAATGAGACACATCTGACTTATCTTACTTACAGACTGCCCTACTGGTTTTGTTGTAACACAATGAGACACATCTGACTTATCTTACTTACAGACTGCCCTACTGGTTTTGTTGTAACACAATGAGACACATCTGACTTATCTTACTTACAGACTGCCCTACTGGTTTTGTTGTAACACAATGAGACACATCTGACTTATCTTACTTACAGACTGCCCTACTGGTTTTGTTGTAACACAATGAGACACATCTGACCTATCTTACTTACAGACTGCCCTACTGGTTTTGTTGTAACACAATGAGACACATCTGACTTATCTTACTTACAGACTGCCCAACTGGTTTTGTTGTAACACAATGAGACACATCTGACCTATCTTACTTACGGACTGGCCTACTGGTTTTGTTGTTACACAATGAGGCACACCTGGAACATCGGAATGCACCTCAGATTAACTGGTTATCACAAAATGACACAAATATCTGGTATAGTTATTAGAGATCGCCTATTGGACCGTTTACCACAAAATGATACTCATATTTGGCTCATCCTATAAATAGACTGGTTTTGTTGTCAAATGATGTTACAATCTCCCTGATCTTACCTACAGTCTGCTCCACTAGGTTTGTGGCAACACTATCAGATACGTATCTCTTTTCTTTCTCACAGGCTGCCCGTCTGGCTGGCTATCACACAACGATAAATGCTACTTTCTGAGCTCCTTCAAGGCATCGTGGCCAGCCGCTGAGGTATGTGCAACACATAATGAATATAACTATAAATGAAGGGTGGATACTACTTTTATTAGGTTCCACAAATTTTGTGCAAACTACTGTTTGAGTAGTTTCAAACAAAAATAATTTGGATAATATCCACCGTATGCTTTAAAAAACATATTTACAGTAAAACCTTGCATGACGACAACAAGATCACATGTTTATATTTTTGTCACATTAATTGCGTTAGAAAGTAAACAACGGTTTTCTTAATCGTCCTTCAAACAAAATAAGTATTACATTGTAATCCATATTTATGATGTCATTTCAGAGTTATTGTCGTACATTTCAGAGTTATTGTCGTACATTTCATGCCAAACTTGCCGAACCAATGGATCGATCCTCTATTAACTTCCTGAGTGGTGAAGTGAAAGGAAGCCCACGTAAGTATGTCCCATACTGTCTGATGACGACATCACAACAATAACTTCAACATGCGTAATACTCAAATCTAGTTCATAGATGTTTTTATTTACTTTCAATAGGTTAAATAAATTTAACACAATCACTATCTATTAAGTTTTTATATAAATACCCTCAAGGTGAAGCTGATACTTTTGAGAACATGTTTTGTTTGGTAGTGTCTATCAGGCTCTGTTCAATATTATAAAACAAACATTAAATGACAATGAAGTATCAAACAGGTTCTTAAGTCCTATGGTTGCTCACTATTACTTATCCACAAATCATTCTCACCCACACACTCATCGTTATATGTTTTCAAAATCAAATTATCCGACTGTTTTAATTTCACACCAATATTTCAACACTCCTAATTTTCAACTCACACACTCAGGTAACCGTCCAAACTCACAGTCATTTCATGTATATTTTCCTGTCTTTAATATATATCTATTTATGCCACCCAAATATTTCAGAAGCATAACAAAGTATACTGTTGACATGTGAATAACAAATAGAACAATACGTTCTTTACATTTTAAAATGTTTTTTACAGATGAAAATAATGAAAAGAAAGTGTTTCTCTTTATCTGCAACCTGTTTCTGCGTTTTAATAAAACTGTCAAAAATAATTAAATAAAGTATTTGAAACTTTCAACAGTTCTACAGTATGGTTATTATATTTCCAGGATTCATTATTTATTATATTACCCCCGTTTTTTAAAACACCAATTTTAGTTTTATCAACGTTGACCTCCAAGTTCCATGTTCTACTTCATTCCTTGAAAGCGCCTAATATACTTTGCAGCCCTTGTCAATATGCCCATGCAAACGTTTCAGTGGCTAACGCCAAAGTTTCAAAGCAAAGGTCACAGTGAGCTGCTTCTCTGGTTTCTCTCGGTTAAATGGTATACAATTATAAAGGACGGTTTCAAATGTTAAGATCAAAGGTCAAGGCATAGGTCACAGAGGCCTACTTCTTGATGTCTGAGCTCCGCGATTCAAATATGTACATGCAATCATAATCTGGTAACCCCAGATAAAACAAAGTATAGAATATATGCCCCGGACAAACTTTTTAAAGTTTTTGGTGAAAGCTTAAACATAGGACACAGAGACCTACACTTCTTACCCTGAACTTGACCATTTTTACATGCAAACCAAAGCTGGTTATTACATGTGAATTAATAAAGACAATCTGCCCCGAAAAAAAATCTTACGGTCCACCCTACCCCAGTAATCGATTGGTACTCCTAAACAATGTGTTACAAAAATTCAATCTAAATACAAATACTATATACAACATAAGCATAATCAAGTGTAATATATTCATCAGAAACACACATTAAATATAAAACATAAGGCCGTGTAATACATACATCATAAGCTCGTGTAAAACATAGAATAAATGCACGCTTAACATCTACAAAATAGCTATGCCTTATATATATAACATAGGCATGCGTAATACATACACCATAAGCATGTAGAATATATACAACGTAAACACATGAAATGTTAAATATACATACTAATTTAACTGGTGTTATATCATATTTGTACAACATAAACACATGCAGCATGCACATCATAGCCACGTCTTACATGTATGATTAAGAATTTTCTAAAATTGAGGAAGATCGCCAGTATTTTGTTTTATGCTACAACAGCTTTGACAGGCACTGACTACTTCCTTGGTGGAGGAGACTTGTTCGTAGAAGGGGAATGGATTTGGATGTCCACACAGGCACTCATCAGTGCTACCAACTGGGCTCCAGGAGAACCGAATGACGGTGGACATCATGAAGATTGTCTGGTGATATACCCCTCCGCAGGATTGTGGAATGATGCCACTTGTAGCGACCAGAAAGGTTTTATTTGTGAAATGGAGTAAGTCTTTTGTAGATGTATATCACTGAAACATCGTGTTTCATCTATAATTTGGCCTGTCTCCTTAGCTGATGCAGTTATTTGGTATAAGCGGTAACATATTTTAAAACACCTTTATGATACGTGATACTGTGGTAGTTTTAGCGTGTTCATTATACCTCCTCATATTCCATGCAATGTTAGATATTGATACTCATAATCAAGATATTCCGTTCAAAGATTCTGTCAAGTTCATACTATAAATTCTTCTCTATTTGGGTCATCATAAACGATGAGCCATGATAGTTGGATGACCGTCCGATATCTTTTAAAATGTATTGGAAATGTCAGCCTTTTTTTCTCTATTTATTACCGGCCAACCGGTTTTGCTCGTGGTGTGAAGGACACCCAGAAAAAATATCTCAATATCTAAAATTGCTTTTGAACTAACTGAATTTCGTTTTTGTTTTCAGGGCAGAAATGGCCGGAAGTTTGATTGGGTAATGAATAAATGCGCGAACGTCGTTTTTATTGCGGATGCACTCCGTATACACAATTGTATTTCGGGTATTTTGCGATTATCTATGATACTAAAGGTAATAAAGTAATCCTTGATGACAGCAAAGCAGTAGTGTCATTTGTAGTTAAACCTGGCTTTTGCGCATAGGGTCGTTTTAGTTTTTGTTTCGCTATATTTCGCTTTAAGTAATATCCGCGAATTCTAAACACCAGCGAAATTGTCGAAAATGTTAACCACTTGTACTTATCACAACATTTTGAAAATACTTATAACCCAAATCTATCATTAAAGCTTTAACTGAACTCAGATTATCACTGGACAAATGGGCAGTCCATGTAAAAACAACACTTACATATAAGTAGCCACAAAATATCTATGTGTACACAGTAGGTGATTAATTGATTACAGTTTACTCCTACAAAGGTACATACACATTTTATTTTATTTCGAGTGAAGTCACTGGCGGATGACGACGCTCGGGATCAGTGTTTTCAAACGGTTTACCTGTATTTCGACCTATGTGTTTATCCCTTAATGTCATAGGAGTGTATTGCTAAACGGAAATAGGAAGTACATCCCTAGTTGAAAATCCAATGTAGGGAGACAGTATCACAATTTCCGCATATTCTAATGTTTAATATCAAACTGATGAATATTGTATGCTTATTATTGACAGAACAGTGTGTTCTTTCAATATTAAAGTATTGCAAAGCAATCCAGGCATTAATTCAGTTGTTTTTAAATCAATGAGTCACATCTGTCCATTTTTCTGTACTTCAGGAAACCGGCTACCTATTTCACTACTGTGAAGTTTTTCAAGAACGATAATTCTTGAATGCAATTACTATGTGTATATGGTTTTATTATAAAATGTCAATTTTTAATCTTTTATAAATGATTAATTTTACACAATTTCGGCATTTATGAAATTGATATACATTAATGCAATACTAATCCATGGTATTATCATTTTTATTGACATTATTTTGCCAAAAAAATGTGTTTCAATTTTTTTTTCAAAATTTCATCCTTTTTACATAAATTTCCATTTAAAATCCTTAAAATTCTGATAACCTATATTTTTTTGTGGCAGAAAATCTTCTATACTTCAAAGCAATATAACTACAAAATTTGAATAAATGCTACTGAGAAATGGCGACACAATCCTATTACCTTAAATGATGACACTCTAAATACATTGCACGACACATGGGATTCGGGTGCATAGCGAAATCTTACCACCGCAAATATGTGCTGAATACGAAATAGCGAAATATTGACCCCGCGAATTTAAAGCACTATACAGTAAACGAATCCTTAAATATTTATTTACGCAATCCACGGACCATCACTTTGTCAAACGTCCAAATTAAGATTTACCATGTTGTCGTTCATCCAGATAGTGATGTCTGTGAGACAAGCTTACACACTTTCAGATATGGTGTACCAGCTGTCATGTGGTTCAATATTTATGCAGATTTGTATGGCATCAGCAGAACCACGATAGCAAAAGCTATATGACGATAACCATCTACGCAATTTGTTTTCAACAAAATATGTATTTAATTTGGTGGTTGTTCCTATGGAATCATACCGTCTTCGTTCATTAGAATAAGAATGAATTCAGGAAAATACATAACCAGTGACCCCCATGAGAGTATTTTAGACGTTTGAAAAGCATGCCATGGTCAGTGATGTAAAATGCAGTGTACAAGTCTAACATAACAAACACCACTAACGTGACAGTACCCAAATCGGGACACTTTTTAGTGAAATATTGATGTCTTTCATACCATAGTACCGATCCCAAAACTTTTTGTTCTCTTTTCCTATAAAGATAGCATTATCTTTTCATTTTGATAGCAAGTTGATATTTCAGGCGCGTAGTATTATAAATAGAACCGGAAATAAAGTCATGGTTACTTAATCGTGAAACGTATAGCTGTAACCAAATCGGGACACCCCTACCAGTTTTGGCTTATATTTGGATCTGAAAAAAATATTTATCAGAACACGGCAGTAAAAAAGTTTATATAATGTTTTATTGGTATATGAGCATCTTTCAATCAATATTTTTAATTTGAAAATACTTCCTTCCACAGCATGCAAATTTCTTGTGACTTTTTCCTTCAAGTGTCCCGATTAGGGTATTTATTTGGATATCATTTTCAAAAGTCTATTTTATCAAAACTAATGCTAGTTTGGAGAAACAATTTAATCATAACCCTGTTTGACCAGTAGCGTAGCATACATGTATGCTTGTATGCTCGAGCATACATTAAAATGGTCAAGGCGATTTTTTTAATCATAAAGTACGTTTTACTCATTAAATTTATTCATTTTTTTTATTTTTTCAAACTTTTACATTAATATACAATACAGTTAAAGTATATATACATAACATAACATGACATTAAACCAACATATATATAGACACACACACATATTAATTCGGTATTATACAAATATCAATGCAATTATCAGAAAGGAAAGGTAGGATTGTTTAGAATTTGTATTTTAATTTGAATTTCTCTGTTAGCTGTCAGTGTGAGTGTAATCAATATTTACACTTACCCAATTTAACAATTATATGTATAAATAGATAAGTTACTTATGGCAACTCGGTCCAAAATTCCAGGTTTGAGTGTTTTCAGAAACAACACTTGCCATTTAGCCCATTCTCATTAATGCAAAGTTCATTCTTGAGGCAGCTTGATCTTTAAACATATTATCCACTTTTCTGTTTATTTCATTCTGACGATGTGTACCAAAAAGAAAAGATTTTTTATTAAATTCAAATGGAATTCAAAAAGTAAACTTTGAACTTTTTCACAGTTCCATAGCGTATGCTCTATCGTTTCAATTTCTGTTTTACAAATGTTACAACAAGGACTGTCTGCTGACCTAACTTTAAATAATTACGAATTTGTTATTAAAAATATGTTGATTAATCCTGAATTGGAACCATTGCAATTTTGTATTTTTTTGTTATAGAGAAAGGTAGTCTGTAAATCACTTTCATCAAATTCAAATTGTTCATCACATTTTTTATCCCACTTGCAATTACATCCTTTTTACTAAGCACTTTATTAAAATCTTTCGTACCTTTAAGTTTTTTTAGCAAATCTTTGTTAATTTCTTGGAATAAAAGGATAGTCTATTTTTGGATGGGTCAAGTTACACCGTCTGCAAAGCTCCTTTTATAGCTTTATAGCATGGTAATGTAAGAAATTTGCTCTAACACCATATTTTTCTCTGAATAAAAAAAATGAAGAAATCTGCTACAACTCCCTTCCTATACCAATTTTTATATTTAAAAAAACCCACACACTAATATTAGCTATTTTGATTTTTTTCTTTTAACCATATAGGCATGTCAGAGATCTGTTTTGAGTCTGCATATTTTCCTCAAGAACAGTAAGATTTGTCCATGCAAGAAAGATATCTTTCCAGAAGAGATTTTTACAGTTATTATGTCAAAAAGAAATATACTCTGATCCACAATTCACAAGAAAGTTTTTATCAATAGTTGAATTTAAAATATTTTGCCATGTTCCTGTTGTTGAGAGTAATCCTCTAATCCAAGTTAGTTTTAATGAGTCTATAAATGATTTAATAGGAATCATTTTGAGACCACGATCCGAAAAGTTTTTGATAATTACATCTCTTTTAATTTTATCAATCTTACTCTTCCAGAGGAAGTTATATATTTCTGTATCTATCTTTATTATCAGAATTAAGTAAAGCAATAACTAAGTGATTACATTGAGAAATTAGGTTAGACTTTGTTATATTTATTCTCCCTATTTGTGTAAGAATTCATGATAAATATGGACCGTCCGTATCAATAATAATAATAATAAAAAAAAAAGAGTCTTCTTGAAATTTTTAGTCTGATCAAATAGTGTTGTTATGTAATGTCTAAACACATTGACAAATTTCCGAAGTTTATGTAAATCAAAAACTACTGAATGAAGTACAAAACTCATATAAAAAGTCCAGTTTTACTTGTTAATAATCAGGCTAAAAGGAGTTCCGAGAACACGGGAGATAGCTTCTAGATTTTGTTCAAGCTATCCCTCCCACACCATTCCCCTCCTCCGGCGCTACGTGCCTCGGACGCTCGACCCTCTGCAAGCGTATACACTCCGAAAAACGATTTGCCACGCCACTGAAGTACATTGATATTTATCTAAAACGTGTCCCGATTCGGGTACAGGCACGTTAATCGGTGTTAGCAGAGATATTTCGCCATTTGTAGTAATCATGCACATTTGTAATATATACGTCTCTGGTGTTGGCCTTAATTTAAAAGTTAATTAATGACTTTTTTTGTCTTCATGTGATTATCTCTAATCCATCTACACCGTTATCTTGTTTTTCACTTCAATGTTTTTGTAACGCTACATCATTATTTTCAAAATGTATTCATTTATTTTTGTGATTTATTTATTTGAGCTAAAAACACCAGAGTCCAAACACCCTAATACTAATATTGATACCCGGCCTCCTCTGCCCCGGCAATATACATGTATAACAAAATCTCTCGTCGTCAGAAAGCTACGTTATCGCAGCTAACCGCTTCGTAGTTCTGACGACGCAATATATAAAAAAAATCTCTCGTCGCCAAAAAGCTACGTTATCGCAGCTATCCTTATTAAAGACAATTCAGATTATATGGTTACTTCAGTACAGACATATATACCATAGATTTGAGGAGATAGAGAATAATATAGACATATGTAATACACCATGTGCTTTACTGTATTTCAGATTGTCTTTCCATTTATGACCTATAAATAAAGTAATCAAAATAGACGAGTTCCTATCTAGTTACGTATCTGACATTTTACGTGTTCAATTAAAAACAACGCGGTCAGTGCATCGTTTTTGTCATCGAAAAAAAGAAACTCTTGATGCACTGGCTCGAAAATTTGATTGGTATGGGTGCATTGTAACAAAAAAAATACTGTATTTGTTTTACAACCTACAATTTGTATAAAGGGATTTTTAATTTCATTTATGTTGATAATATTTCATTGAACTTTATATTGCAATCTCACATGGTGAACCTCAGCGATTCTGCCCTCATAGT